TTGTGAAAGTACCCATGTCAAAAAGGAAAAAGTCAGCATCGGAGCGAGTTGTCTCCAAAGATCATGTTATTGTACTGATGTAATTACTGCTGTGAAAATGTGGATTATGTTAAATTTACCATGAAGGCAGGTAAACACAGGATGTGTTGAATTCATATTAACAGCACAAACAGCCAATTAACAGCAAGTTGCGTGCACAGTGAGCTGATCAGAAAGCAGGATGGCTTCTTAGTAAAATAATAAATTATAGAACAGAGAAAAATAGACAAAAAAGCAGTCGGCACAGCAAACAAAATCATAGGCTCAACTTGTTCCCTTATATTAAAGCTCATCCATTTCTTTCGGGTATTACCAGCCCAAGATATGCATGCGTCAGTGCAGAGATCACTCAGATTTTCTTCTTGCCTCTTGCTTGTATCAAATAAATGACAGCGGTCTGCTTTAAAACGTGGAGTTGTGCGGTCTCCAGCTGTAGTGTATCTGAAATAAACTACATCTGGTACAGGTTACCAAGGAGGAAACTAAGTTTAAAAATATTTCAGGAACAAATTAGTTTATTGAAGAAACACCTGCTGCAGATAAAGGGGACTGTGACCCAAGCAAGGTGTGCACACAACTCAGCAGGCCCTCTACTCACCGAGAGATGAAAGTAATCAGCAGGTTCGTTAACACCAAAGTTTGAAGTTTTTTTTTGGCCACCTGGGAGCAACAACAGCAAGTTATGAACACAATATTAATATATCGTCAGCTTTAAAGTCGTTGTACTTGTTGGAAAACAAATGCTTAATAGCAAACATTTGCAGAGCAGCTTGATTATTTATTCTAAAATCTGTGTTTAGCCAGCAGACTAAGTCCACTAACAAAGGTCCCCACCAGACATTGATTTGACCCTAAAAGCTTGTCTCTGTGTATCAAAGTTAGTGACACTGTCATCCTGTACAATGTGCAGATCTATGAAGTCCCTGCATCTATTTCCACTCATCTCACTGCAACTCAAACACATCAGCTCACCTACAACTCACACTGACAACTGCAAAGCAATGACAAGTTGTAATATTAGAGTAACTGAGCCATACATGATAGAATTTGAAAGCAATTCTGAAGAACAAAAATAATACAGAAAGTTCCACCATTCAAGTTGACAGCATCGGCTCCTCAGGTGTGCCACATATAAAACTCTGGAAGCATTAATCCATATGAACATCCATCCATCTATTCATTATCTATGCACCGCTTAATCCTCACTAGGGTCATGGGGGGCTGGAGCCTATCCCAGCTGACTTAGAGCAAAGGTAGGGAACACCCTGGACAGGTAACCAGTCTATCACAGGGCCACACTTAGAAACAGACAACCAAGCACACTCACATTCACACCTACAGACAATTTAGAATCACCAATTAACCTCAACGTGTTTTTGGACTGTGGGAGGAAGCCGGAGAACCCAGAGAGAACCCACGCTGCACTGGTAGAACATACTAACTCCACGCAGAAAGATGCCAGGCATTCTAATGGAGACGTGAATCGGAGATCTAACCACCAGTGATCATGTTAAAGTAAAAAAACTTGACTTTCACCAGAGTATGTCATTAACTCAGACTATTGCTTCCTGAAGAAAAGATCTTGGTTTTGAACATCTAAAAGCTCCACAATGCTCAGTAGCTTTAACGAACAGTATCTGTCTACTGCTTTGTGTTGAGTGAAAAGCTTTTTCTCTCCTGCGGCCAAAAGCAACCTTTTGACATTTGCAAGAGTTCAACAAAACAGGACAGTCGGTGGCCAGACAGCTTATAAAATTAGCTAAAACACACCTTAAAGCCATATAAAGACATGAGGAGCTGTAGTTTCAAGTGTAATTCTGAGTTGATTGAAACTTGTTAGTGACCCCTTTCACATTGTGCACTATTTTCATATATTATATTTGACAGTAGGAAAATATTCATGGTAGCCATTTTATTGTCTGAGGTGGGGCTGCATTGCCGCCATAATGTCTCTGTGCAGAAGAACAAACAAAAACAGCTTTAGTCAAACTTTAAACATAATTCAAAAATGGTGCATGAAAACAAAAATTGCAATGGTCTCCTCTATTCTGGGTGATTTCAAGCCTTTTGGTGTTAGTATGAAAAAAAAAAGCTGCAGCCTTCCAAACAAACCAACCAAGCGTCAG